CTTCACGCTTACTAATCGAAATCAACTGCAATCGGCTGGTCTCAAACTGAACGAACGTGCTAAACAGCCGAAACTGTGGACATATGTTCGAGATCGAATGCAAGTAGCCTGTGAAATGTGAATATTCACCGTAATTTTTGAAAAGTTCACGTTCCTTGTACAACGGTTGAAAAATACTTCTGTTACAAAATATACACTTGCATGGAAACCTTTGTTGTATATTCCGGTTCCGTGACGATTGTAATATTTTTATAACTTCAAATGTGTTTAATGTTTCCGAAGTTCTTTACTTCTCTGGTAGGAAACATCTGGTAGACAAAGTAGCAATTTTTACGAATTCAATCAAACTTAACGATCAATTTCACCCCGATTCAAGCTGTTTAACTCGTCGAAGTCTCTTTACGACTTAGATTAGTGTGATTTTAATAGTCATTTGTTTCAGTACAGTACAGTTTATGTGTAAACATAAAATGGGAATGGTACAGTGTGATGCGGACATGTTTTTTATGAATAAATATCGTTGAGGAATACGGATTGATATACTCGATGAACAATAATAATAATCGGTGACATTATTTTTTGGGTTTGTAACACGTCGATTTTTTGGGTTTTTTCCTGACGTTTCGCTAGCGCGAGTGGCTAACTTCTTCAGAGGTTTATTCATTCTGAGTTATTTTCACTACTATTATGACGAGTCACTGCCATACGAAATTTATCCAATATAATATTATAAAACCATTTGTTTTGATTATCATTACCTATTCATTAATCATTTCATGAACTAGTTAAAGCAAATACCTGAATGCAGGTAAAAAAAGACGAAAATACATATTCAATAGTGACAAATATGTGAAAAACAATATTACTGTTGTAAATCATCGCATGAAAAAAATTAACGCCGGCCGCTGCTGGTCGTCGTCAATCGATTGTGACTTGCCAAGATAGTTCCAGATGCCGCATCTCTTTGAGAGACTTCTAGCGACTTTCCTGTCAGCTTTCAGATGCTTCCATTACCATATATAAACACTACCAACACGCAGATCGAGGAAGTCTAGTTGAATGTGCGGTACGATGTGATCTAATAAGGCGTAGCCAATTGAAGTTTCAGTTGAAGTGTTTGTATTTTATTGTCAGTGTAGCAGTGTAATGAAGTTAGGTTAAATTGTATAGTCAATTACTATCAAATCCACGGGGAAACGTAATATTACATATTAAATATTCTATGGCAACAAGGCATGATTATCTGATAAGAACATTCTGATATCAGAACAATCTGATAAGAACATTCAACGGGAAGGTATTCAACTCAATTTGATCGGTAATTATACATTGGGAATTTTTGTATTCATTGATTCTCTTCTTTCCAGAAGGTCAAGTTTCAAACTGTTCATCACGAAATGAAGGATTTTGGATTCATGATTGAACTCATGTCTCTCTGTAAGGATCTTTGTAGCATCTTTATTTTTTTTTCCATTCTGGAAACTGTTTCAATGCTGTTTTATACGTGCCTCAAATATTCTTCCAGCTTGACATATGTGAAAAATCGGACATGAACCTCAAAACAATTCATACACTCCTGATCTATCTGACCGAAAACTTTATCTTTGTTATTTTCAATGTGCATGCTCAAGTTGTTATTAGTTTTAAACCCTATATTAACACCTTTATTTACTTTTTTTGGTGTCATCGACATTGATTTCATTAGTCATTAGCCTCGTGTCATGGGTAGGTTATGTTAATACTTTCAGCTATGCCCTCTTCCCTATCTTCGCTTCATCGGTTTAGCGGGAGATGTCCTTTTGGCGGGAGCTGGCCGTTTTCCGCTTGATTATGCGGCTTCTTCAAATTTCCTCTTGTGGATGATCTCAGCTTGGGACCACTCGATGTTATGTTGATGAGTCCAAACCTGCTCTGTTTCTCCTAATTTACTGGTTTTCTCTCACTGTTTGTGTTTCTTGTACTCGGCAATGCGGACTTTCTATGGCCTTTTAGTTTCACCGGTATAGGATTTGTGGTACTCGCAGGGTATCCGTTAAATGCAATTCTTTGAATCGCGGTCCGCGTTTGGTGGCCTGGTTTTCGTGAAACTGCTACGGATAGTGTTTCAGGATCTAAAGCAGGTTCTGATGTTATACTTGGATCCAATTCTTCTTATCCTTTCCGACAATCCTCTAATGTAGAAAAATGCAAGCACTGGTTGTGACGGCTTCTCTTCTTCACGAGACTCTTGCTATCTTTCAAGCAAAGTCTGTTCCACAATCACTTTAGAGTAATCATTTCGTTGAAGATCATTTCTAATGATGCCTAGTTCGTTCTAGAGACCTTTCTCCGTATTACAGAGTCCCAAAGCACGGTCTACTAGAGTCTTGATGAATCCTCTTTCAGTCGATTGATGGTGGTTGGATTCGTGGTTCACATACTGTCCAGTGATAATTATTATTATGAGGATTCTCTTTGAGCACGATGGTAGAAGGAATATCGATTAAATTCGAAACACTTCGCTTTGGCAAATATTGCCGGACCACTTCACAAAAACAATACAAAATAGAGTTCATGTTCGTGCTCGAACACACAATTTTGAAGAGAATTATACAGCACGCAGTCGGCATTCGAGAAATCATTTGAATTTCAAAATATATGCAAATGTGTTTGGTTTGGATATCGAGGCTACTGAAATAATTTATTGTTTCAATTACATACATAGGAACCTGGAGTAAACGTATTTGTTGTGCGATCCGAAACGTAGATAGGATAATCTTCCATAGAGATTGGTTGTGCTGAATTAGATGGCAGCACCATTTAGACCAAGGGTAATCTACATTATTCATGAGCGACTTCAAATATTGAAAAGTTTATTGGTATATGTTCAAAATGTGTTTTTCCGTTCACCAGCTGTCGTCTCCGAATGAATGACAGCTCTCAAAGATAGATAGAAGTACTTGTGGACTGTGTTAGCAATGTCTCAACATTCAGTGTGTGATATCAAGCATTATTCGACTATGAATAATCTCATTAGAAACATACAGTTCACACTCGAAACAGATATAGAAAAACAGATCAATTTCTCAGACCTGACTATCATACATAATAAGCGAAAAAGATTTTGATACGCTTCAAGATGATCTCGAAAATCTATCTACTTACTTTTCAGTATCAGACCTATCTCTCAACGAAGCTAAATGCAAAATAATGAGTTTCACACGAAAGAAGTCACCCACTATCAAGGACTATTTTATTAATCACACCAATTTAAAGAGAATCAATGAGATGAAAGATCTCGGAATCATTTTACTGGTGTGTTGAGTTTCTCTCGGCACATTGAATACTCAGTATCTGAATGTTATAGAAACATATCTGAAGATCTAGTCGTGAATTCAATCACGATACTTGTTTGTTACTCTTTAACTCCATTGTTCGTTCTAAGCTGGAATATGGTTGTGTCATTTGAAATCCAAAGACCTTTTTATATTCTGATTCTATAGAAAAAGTCCAGAAACGATTATTAGGAACACTCTTTTTCAGAAAACACAATGTTTGGCCTTTATTTATATCGTATTCTAGCCAATTACAAGAATTGAACATGCAACCATTGAAAAACCGCCGTGAGTCCTCGGAAATGATTTTTGTTTTTAACATTCTTAGAAAACTGAAAGTACTTGAAATTCGCTATAGTACTGATTTTATTTTACCTGACGTATGACTGAAAAGAGAAGACAATCTATTTCGTGTCTCAAACAATTTGTGTCCTCTTCAACAATGTCTCGAAACCGTTAACAAAATGGTGAGGAACGGTGAACTGGATATATTCAGTATTACAGAGGGACAACTTCTCCAAATGCTCAAATGTGTCTGAATTTTTTTACGATACTTTTATTATTTATTGTTTTATATTGTTATATTTTATATCGATTTTAACTATATCAATAGTACTCAATAAATACTATATGTAAGGACTTTCAAAAAACTATACATCATGTAAGTGGAAACCATTCTGTTTGTTGTTCAGTATGAATACATTTCTATTCTATTTCTATTCTATAATGAATTTGAGTTCAATGTATTCAGAAAACCGAGCTTTTTGTAGATCCCTGTAATTGACGATGTTTCCGATGGTTGTAGAATGGTAATTTCATCTGAAGAAAAGTTGCTGGGTAACAGGATCCATTTTTTCCTGAAAAAACAATTGTTTCCTTGTCGCCGTTTGGAATTTAATTAGGTTCTTCTTCAGGGGTTTGTAACAATGAATTTTCATAAACATACCTTCCACAATTTTACAAGAAATAATGTGTTTTTAATAACGCAATATATCTCAGAAATTGATAATATCGAACAATTCAAAAATAAGATGAAAGGTTATATCAAATCGATCTCGAGGGTTGATAAACATCTACAAATCGAAAACCCCTTCATGATATAGTACTTTGGTCAACAATTAAGTCCCTTGGAATGATGCGTATGTATCTGATCTACTATGTATACGTACCCGGCACGTTTTTTAAACCTATACAAGAATTTTTCATTATTAAGGTTAGCTTATGATACTTCTGTGTTGTAACGGTTTCCTTTGTGAAATAATTTATTATCATTATTCAATTTCTCACTGAAAAGTAGTTTCTTCCTGTTGATATTACTATTTTAAAAACCATTAGACATATTACATTACATTACATTTAAAAAATTAAAAAACATTGCAACAACCCAATTTCCGAGACAATACAAAAAACGACATGAAACAAACAAATGGCTTCATCTGTGATTCTGATAAGGTGGTGTCTGTTTTTCAATCAATAACAAAAAAAAAGGATTAAAAATAGGGTAAATCATTCGGATATTTTACTTATCAAATTAAAATATGCAGTCTTATGGCCATCGACATCTCTACTAGTGTTAACACTATCGTATTTGAGGTTATGTATCATTCCGCTCAAGAATCTTTTGGATAAATATGGTTGAGCATCTAGAATAGTTGGATGATCATTAACACTAATGGTATCACTCACCAGCATCTTTTCCTCCTTTCACACATATCCCGAAACCGTGAGTCCCATCCTGAGGCTCTCTTACCATCGTAACCGTCCTAGTTATCAATTCGTGTATGCTGGGTACATAAGCAGGGCGATAGTTTATTTGGTGGGTGGTGGAAGGGGGGCTGCTCGCAGGAGATCTACGAGGCCTCTCCACGTTCGTTTTTACAGTAGAAGAGGGGTTGTTGGAACCGAAAAGACGGAGAACTTGTTCAGGAGAGATCGGTCTCTTCTTGTTGTTGGCCACTGCAGGGGTTCTACTTGTGGTGCTGAAGTTTGGATTGGAGCCCAAATAAGTTCCTGCAAAGTAAACATAATTTTTCAGAATTCAGTCTACAAGAAATAGGCAGATATTAGGTGGGCTGAAAAAAATTCGTTGCATTTGTTTTGTTTTGTGTTTAATGACAAATGTAGACATGTTTTTATTGTATACACGAATAAATATATCTATCTATCATGTGATTTTCAGTTAACCTTTGGCTCGATGAACATTATTTGGACTTTGCATTAGAAAAATCAACCTTTAAGAAGTGGTTTACCGAGTAACAGCCAAAAAGAGGCTGTTACCGACGAAAACATAAGAAAAGTCCACAAATTAATTTTGTATGAGCGCAAAGTGAAGTACATCGAGATAGCTGAGGCTCTAAAGATATCAAAGAAAAGTGTTGGAGATGTCATGCATGAATATTTGAGTATTCGTAAGCTCTGTTCAAAGTGGGTACCGCGCGAGCCCACAATCCACCAAAAACAACAACGAATTGATGATTCTGAGCAGTGTTTGAAGCTGTTCCATCATAAAAATCTGAATTCATGCTTCGATGTGAGACAATCGATGAAACATGGCTCCTTCATTTCACACCAGAATCAAAATAATCGTCATCTGAGTGGACTGCACGTGGTGAACCGGCTCCAAAGCGTGCAAAGACGCAACATTCGGCTGGCCAGGCTATAGTATCAATATTTTAGGATGCGCATGGTATAATGTTCACTTATTATCTTGAAAAGAAAAAACCATGAATGGCAACTACTACATAGCGTTATAGGAGCGTTTGAAGAAGAAATGCGCGGAAAAACAGTCCAATTTGAAATTGTTGTTACATCAAGACAATGCACCTTGTCACAAATCGATTAAATCAATGTCAAACTTGCATGAGTTGAACTTCGAATTGCTTCCGCATCCACCGTATTCCCCAGATCTGGCTCCCAGCGCCTTTTTATGTTCTCGAATCCCAAGAGAATGCTCGCTGGAAATAAATTCAGCGGCTGAAGACAAATCGAACTTCAAAAATATTATCGAAAAACTGTAAGACCAGTATTATCATTGTATCACTCTCGAATGCAACTATATCGAATAATACATACATCGATTTTTTTTGTGTTAGCTTACGAACTTTTCCAGCCAAACGTTACTTCAAAATGTCAGATATCAGTGTATTATAAACAATACTAGAGGGACCCAACCCCATTTCGCACCAACTTGTCACTAATTTGATAAAATCCACTCCAATAAAAGTACGTTCACAACTATCGATTTTATTTTCGAAATAAATAACTAACAACACAAAACCAAAATACGACTCTAACCTCTAAACAAAACCAAAGCAATTGCAATCTTACTTCATCGCGCGTAACACAATAGTTTGTGAGGCCGTTTGAAATAATTTTCTCTCGCGATAGTTAAAATTTTATGGCAACCCCTTCAGTTGTATTGTATGGAAAGTAATTAAAATGTGCATGAAAAGCTTGATTACAGAAACATATAACAAAAAAAGGTAATCTAAAGAAATGAACTTTAAACGTTCAAGCCAGTTTCGAATATACCTAGACAGTAAGTTGAATAAACTGACACCTATCAGAAAACAACTACTCCCCTGGCTAATACCACGAAGGGCGTTGGATTTAATCCGACAGGCACAGACAGTCAGTGCAGGAATCTTCTCAGAAAATTTCCTGCATATGCAATTGGCAATATAACTGAAGAAGTCGACCTTCAGTTTTGGAACGGGCACACTTGCAGACCGGTTTCGGGCTCATTAGCCACTCATCAGTGCAAGATAGAGCCCGAAACCGGTCTGCAAGTGTGCCCGTTCCAAAATTGAAGGTCGACTCTTTCAGTTGTATTGCCAATTGCATATGCACGAAATTTTCTGTGAAGATTCCTGCACTGACGACTGTCGTATATAATCCAACACCCTTTGTGATTTCAGCCAGGGGAGTAGTTGTTTTCTGATAGGTGTCAGTCCATTCAACCTAGTGTGTAGGTATATTTGAAACTGGCTTGAACGTTTAAAGTTCATTTCTTTAGATTTGTTTACTGTCAGCCCACTGACTAATAAGAAAAAAAAGTAATACAAATTATGAATTGGTTAAGGCTTTCGCGGAGGAGATTTTCATTGTTACGATCTTCATTCGGATTTGAAGGCCGTCGTGGTTTGAAACTGTATCATAACGTTTCGCCAGTGGCTGGCTTCTTCAGAGGTCTATTCATCCTGATGGTTTACCGATGACTCGTGATTTCTAGTTCGTAAGTTGTATTTATGTTGACACAGGTAGCCCGCCTTTCTAGTTCGTGTGTTGTTATTGGCCGAAGTATTATTACCGGTTACATTTTTTTTAAACAGTATTGTATGATCTCCTTCAATAAACGCGGGTTCTGCTACTGCCGATTTTTCTATTTGACCTATTCTACAGTTTTTCCTATGGTCATTCAGCCTTGTACCCATGGATCTTTTGGTGGTACCAATATAAACTTTTTCGCAAGTGCATGGTATAAGATATACCCCGCCGCTGAGAGTGGATCCCTTTTGTCTTTCGCAGATCTCAGGGTTTGTTGTATTTTCCTGGTGGGCTTGAACACTGTTTTTATGTAATACTTCCTTAAGATTTTTCCGATTCTGTCTGTAATCCTATGGATGTACGGTAGAAATGCACGTGCAACCGTTTGAGTTTCCTCCTTATTTTGACTTGTAAAAGTCTTCAGTTTTATGGCCTTGTTGATCTCGGTTACACTGTATCCATTCGATCTTGAAGCTACTTGAAAATGCTCCAATTCTTCTTGTGGCCTTGAAAAACCTGAATTCGGATGAGGAAATGATCATTCTACCAGCTGACAAGGGAAATGCCACGGTGCTCGTGAAAACAGAAGAACACATTGGAAAAATTTTAGCAGCTACCGCAAGCTAAAAAGAAACCCAACACAATCAAGGTTGCGGAATACGAACCGGCATATAAAATCATCATCATTGTCGGAAACCACTCAGAAGACCATCTTAAGAACAGAAGCCGGTTAATTTCTCGGGCTTCTTCGGCAGCGCTTTAATACAATTTGAATTCGTAGAAAAAATTCACCAAAAATTGCTCAATGACATCATAAATATTGAAATTTGGAAAAAAAGAACAGCATCAATGTATAGAGTACAAAATTGTCTATCGATCAGTATACAGGGTGTAACTGAACGAGTGTAAAATATTTAAGGAGGTGATTCCTCATCGAAAAAAAGATTGGATCTTTCATATGAACTTCATTGAAGCACCCCTTGTTGAGATAAAGCCTCTTTTAGGGGGTACATAAAATTTGTATAAAAAATTGTCTATCGATCAGTATACAGGGTGTAACTAGCCATTTCCTCATTTGTGTATGCCATTTTAATAACAAGTGAATTATTAAAGTAACAAATTAAGAACAGAACAACAACACACAATTAGTATTAATTCAATTTCGAAAATTCACAAACAGACAGCGTCATACCAATTTAATTGTCACTATCGCTAATAGCGACCTACTAGATAGATTAAATTTAATTAGGACGATTTACTACAATTGGAATAACATCAAATTCAATACACATAATCTGATAATTTCGAACATCTATCCAAGCTCTTTTTCCTCTTAGCCTACAGACGAGGTTATAAGTTCAGCAACATCAGCATCGGGTGACCTCACTGTCAGTTGCATAGCCACACTATCAGCTAGGGCTAGTTTTGCTCTAACTAAAATATCAATACCTTCTCGAAACATTTCTGCTAGTAAAAGAGTATGAGTTGATTTTTCCTCAGGAACCTTATCCGTTCTTGGCGACCTAGGAATTGAATGATATTCTTAACTACTTCCTACAGAGTATTCATAGAGCTCAAGGAATGAGTGTCTTCCTTTTCCACGAAGATGGCTGCTGCTTCTTCCCATGCCTCACCCCAGTTGACTTTGCTGACTCTCTGGATCTAATCTTCGAGTGTGATTTCCAGGTCTTTTAATATGTATTATTCGTCGTAGCCTTCATCGGAATCCGGTAACCCAGTCGTAGGATCGCAATCTTTCACAACGAACTTGAGGACTGCCCGAAAGTGCCAACGCAAGCAGCTAGGTCATCGTCGGGAACTTCAACACTACATAAGTGGTGCCAGACTCGTTATAAGAGAGCTTGGGGCAAGGAACTTCTAAAATGATTTCGAATATCTCGCTCGGCTCGAACTCCACCCTGACATTCTCCAGTAACTGGTCACTTAGGGTATTCAAACAATCAAATTGCAGAACAACGTGGTGAGTGAAGCAGTGCTTGGTGTATCAAACGAAGTATTCTATTTCTGAATCGGTCAGTTCCACGACTTCTGAGCTGCGGAACAAGAGGCCCAATTGCTGTATTCCCGGTATAGCGCTGAGTTTTTCGGTAAAGTTTTCTTCTTTCGAGACTCTAACTGGTCTTGCGGGGCCCTGAGACGCAAGCATACCCTCAGCTCTGTGTTTGACTTCACGCTCCTCAGTAGTTGGAATACTGGTACTTATTTGATGTCAAACGGTTGATCCGATGCGTTCTGAGTGTATTCTTTCAGTGATCTTTCCAGAGATGGAATGGACACCTGTAAAGTTTCCAAAATATAATTATTGTTAAAGCTTTTATCACTTCTGCTCAAAATACTGCTGTAATAAGTAGCCCGATCATGGACTTCATCATCAGAATCCATCTGACAGCGAACTAATAAAGCTTGAATGTTTTCCAACAAATCTGGACAAGATGCCCCAACTTGTGCCATAGATGATACTACAGCAGCCCTAATAGAAGGACATTCCAGGATGACTCGATTATAGATGAAACGGATATATCTTGAAGGCTGCTTTGTTTTCGGCCCCTCTTTCCCGAGCAAATGCAAAATCCTGACAGCCAGTGAAACGTGTTCACAATCTTCTATAAACTCGCAGAGATGTGCTAATCCTGTTTCTTTAGCTTCAGGATTATCTTCTATATTTGTTGTAATAGTGTCAGCAATTGATGCTTTGTACTCCAAATCGCCTTCGTTGCGCAACATAAGAAGTTCATGAGAACAGTGTGTTTTCACGAGAATTTTGAAGCTAATGCCCTGATAGCTTGGACTACAACTACTTTGAATTCGTCGCTGATTTCGGAAACGAATGTTGCAATTTATTCCATTAGGCGATCAACTGAGGATTCAGCACCTGTTTTCAAGAGTATTATAATGTAAGGAACTTACAAGAGCGGCAGAGCTTACTGCTGAGTTACGATCAACGATTGCTCGTTTCATATATCATTCAATAGCCTGCAGCATTGTAAAGTCAGTTATGCTACAAAGGGTTCTGATTGCAGCAGCCCTGTTCATGTCCTCTTTTCCTGACAATCCAGTCATGTCTTTTGTACGGCTTGACGTTACGACTATAACATCATCCGCGACAGAGCTTAGTTCTTTGATCCCCAGGTATACCATGCGCCTGAGAATTACATCTTTCGACTGAAATAGCTTTGTCATTGCAAATAAAACATCTGTGGCTTCCTGAACACTGAGAAATATAACAACAAATATACATTTTCTGGGATTGACAGAAGTTTCGTTGAATACTCTAGCTTCTTGGAGCACAGTAGTTTTCTCCATGTTTTGAAATGGATTGCCACCCCCATCTTCTTCCTCCTTTTTATCTCTTTTGAAGGAACCCATTTTGATTTGACAAATATATTAAAAATTCAAATGAATCCAGAAATATTTATTTGTATATTAGAAAATTTGCACGTCACAATCGTTGACACCGATGGTTGATTAGTTTCGTATTTTCCCATTTATGACGATGTATCTCTGTAGTTGTTGTGTATTGAGATGTGGAGCTACATATGACATATGACAACGGACAAAGTTTTTGAAACAACCTATCAGTATGAAGTGAAAATATTTGAGTGTCCTGATTTCATCTTGTTATATTTTAACGATGAGATTGGAAACTTTGGTGTGAAAGTTGAATAACTTTTTTCGAGATCAATTGCCCTAACACCAAACTGATATTTTTGCACTCGACGCGGTTTTGCCAACAAAGTTAGCATCCTCAGTAGAAGAAGATTGATCCTTCTTCTCCTGAGAATGCTAACTTTGTTAGCGAAACGCGCGTCTAGTGCAAAAATATCAGTTTGGTGTTAGGACAATTGATCTCGAAAAAAGTTATTGTTATATTTTGGAAAATATCAATTTCTTTGCCATAAATTTCTGGTAGCGCAACCTCTCTGTTCCATTACGTCAATGAAGCTGTTGAAAAATTTGTGAAATTGGAATCAAAAGAGCTGTTCATATAAATTTGGGTTACAAAACCTCAAACTATACCTCAAGAGTAGTCTCACCATATGCAGCATAATTTAAAAATATTCACCACATTGATTTCTAAAAATTTGAAATCAACTAAAATCAAAATATGCTTCATTACCCAAGATTTGAACATCTTATTGGCAAAGTCTAATAAAATAAAATGTGTTTACGGGTCATTTCAATAACAAACACAAGCTAAAAAATAATGCTCAGAGACAAGGGTTAGAGTATCTGTTGAACAGATACGAATATACTTAAGATGCACTGTTTGGAACGTTTGATGTAGGTAGTAATAAATATCGGCAAACTGTCCCTAACAGAAATAGCGTTACCTGGAACTGACTACGTTTCTGTGATTCTGGGAATAAACGCACTGGCTCGGGCAAAATCAAATTATCTCTATGACAACATCTGCAGAAATTTCCCTGTGAAATTTACATAACGAGTCCTATCTGCGTTTCATCTTCTCGGAACTCCGCAAAACTTCCTTTGAACTGGATAGTTTCATTATTTTATTATCACTTTCATTAACTCACTTTTGAAACCGTTTCCATTGTTTTCCAGGAACATAACATAACTTTATATGTCCATAGTTAGGTATGTGTGTGAAGTGATATTTCGTTAATGAAATATTGTCCAACATGAAATATGAAAGGAGAAATAGAAGCTTTCAGCAGCAAAAAAGGTTTTGCGTTTAGATGATAACTTTACTAAATAAAGTATATAGTTAGCCAGAAGGTATACTATAGTTGGGCTGAAAAGTTTTTCGGCTAACATAGAAAAACTTTTTATATAAAATTTTATTTTATCGTTCAATATAGTGGCTCTCGGGGGCCATACAACTATTATAGCGGTCAAACCATTTTTGGATACCAGTTTCATAGTACGATTTGTCTTCAGCCTCAAAATGGGCCTCAGTTTCGACTGTTGCCTCTTCATCCGCACCATTTTCTTCCGGCGAGCATTTCTTGAGGTCTGAGAATAGAAAAAGTCGCTGGGGTCGAATCTGGAGAATATGGTGGATGTGGAAGCAATTCTAAGCCCAATTCAAGCAATTTCGCATTTTGGGCCATCCATGTTGGATTTAAAATGATGTTGATATCATAAATTGATAGTTTTCCACAGTTGAGAATATTGGAGGTGAAAA